TATGCAAAGGAACTACACCCATCATTATACAATTTTTTTTCCAAGGGTGGTCTAAATCAATATCCTTCTAATCTAAAAGAATGTCACTTCATATTTAACCAGCAGAATTGAAATTATGTAAGCACATGAAAGCTAACGCTATCTCCTGTAAAAGTTGCCAAGGAGTCTTTAATGACCACAAGGAGATAGAAATCTTATTTCACATCCTATCTCAATTTTATACTTTCTGCGATACTACTTGGAACAGTATCTTCTTTCAAACTCCTCATTTCAGATTCACTGGCACCTGCACATAAATTGTTACACATTAAAATATCTTTTTAGAAATCCTTCCTTTTCCTCCTGTCCTAGAGTTTCTCCCCATTACCTGAGACACTATCTTAACATTTGCTTGTCTACCTATTTTGCACTCTTTCTAGCAAACATGTCCTACTATGCATAATGCTGGTTTGATTAACTAGTCTCAATGACTAAAACAAATGAGAACTGTCTGTTGTGCTAACTACTGAAATAAAGGTTAACCGGATTTAACTCTAAGAGCAGATTTCTAAGGACATAGATTTTTTTTTTTTTGGTATTAATTAACTCCAAAACAGCTTTGTACGTGTAGGCTCTCCTTTGTTGTCTAAATACACTATATATGTTGCAGGGAAATTTTAATTTTTTTTCCGTTTTTATTTTATTCTGAAGACATTGGTTCTATTTCTTCCACTGTCGCTAACTCAACTGCTGCAGATACATCACCTCACCTTTCTGTATCAATTTATTCATCCAAAGAGGATGATAATGATTGCCATCACACTGATTAAGACTTGGACTAATTTTTGCTACAAAAATGCTATAAAAAAGTTTCCCCTTTTTCAAAAGTTTTACAAAAAAGAGAAACTTTTCAGTTATTCTATCAACATACTGTCAGAATAATCTTTTGCACCAAATCAATAACAATTCCAAATACTAAACATGCTGTGCATTAGAGAAGAATATATAGTGATGAACAACTACAGTATATTTCTATAGAGGCAATCATACTATAAACATATAAGTAGTAGAGGAATAAATACAAAACGATCTCTAAAAGCTCATCAGATCTATAAACTATTTTAAAACTTCAATGTCTTACTGATCTTAGATGAAACATAAAAGCTCCTATTCTCAAGATTTACTAGGATTTTTTTTAATCAACATTAGCCAAGCTGCAACTTATTAGAATCCTTTAATTTCAAAATTTTATTGAGAAATCCTTATTATGCTCTCAATTTCCAAAGCCTCACTAGCTCTAAGTGGTAAGGACTGCCACAGTCTTAATGTTAACACAGTATTAGTCCTAAAACAGCTAACAGATAAGTATTTTTAGGCCAAGCTTCTAATTGCATAATAATAATTAAAAAAAAAAAAGGACTTAAGGAACTTGAAAAGCTAAAGGTAATATGTGAAGAAATAAAGTGCAATATCTGAGATTCTGTTAACTAGGGTAAATACATGTGGAAAAAAACTATTGCTCCAGGAACTTAATTTTTGGCCTGAATTCTCATTTGCAGGCCTATATATAATTTAAATATAATAATAATTTAAACCTGATGATCAGTTTCAACTACATTGGACAGAGAGATAGAAGTCTCAAAATAAATACATTTCTACAGGTTTGGTGAGAGATAGCTAAGTAACCACTGTGTGTGCTAGATGATAAACTAGTTTCTATTAAACAGAATGAATGCTCTGCCTTTATTTTAAGGGACTGCTGCAATGGGTCTTTCTTCTACCCAGTCAGTACACATCACCCCAGGGAAACCACTGCATAGGCCAGCTCTAAGTCTAGGATGGGACTGGACAGGACAGGAAGGGAAAAGTAGGTGACTAGGAGTGAGTAGGCAATATTGTAGTAGGGGGCATTAATGATCCAGAATGGACTGAAACTACAGAAAAGGAAGATCTTACAGTGAGTGTTGTAAGAAACACTGGAGGAGCTGGTATTACTGCAGCAAGGGATACAGGATGCAAGTCAGAGGACACTAGGCTTCATTAATCCTATTACTCACCAAGTAGCCTGTTTTTGCATAAAGATCCACATCCTTACACATGAAATAATACCTCTGGAGTTACTTCCCTGTCAAGATTTTGCTGTTCAGATTAAACAAGTTCTGTTTTGATTCCTGTACTGAAATGACTCATTTTCCCATTCCATGGAGTAAATGAAAATGCTACCCAAATATCTTATTTTTCAGCAGTAGTCTAAACACCAACCTGAGATCAGCTCGGGAAAATGGCAAGGAAAATGCATTGTTTGTCTGAACCTCAGCTGTGAAGGGCTGCTGTTTAACTTCCTGACAGCACCCAATGGCAATAGTGAAGGTGGATGTTGGCATAGTCACATAATAGTACCAGCCCAAGATACCTGTGAGCAAAAAGAACATTTGTACAGAATCATCAGTCACAGCACAGAGCCAGTACTTGCAGTTTTAATGTACTTGAGATGTTGGGCCAAGCCTCCCACCATACGTCCTTGTATTTTTGTTAAAGGAGGAAAAATTTCACTGAGACATAAAAACAGTTATATACAGTCACCATGGATTCGCTATTGTTCCCGTCTATCTGCAACTTCCTAGATTTACAATATCTCTATCTTTAGATTAAGTGCTATTATCTGCTGATGTCTTCATCTATTAAAAAAAAAATCCATAAATGGGATGTTATTAATGCAACTTAACATGATCGTACTGTTACTGCCAAAGCCAATGATTTGGTTGTGATAATCCAGGAGCTGCTATAACAAGATCAGAGAAGCTAAAATGATGACGACTCTTATCAGTATGGGAACACAGTGCAAGATGACAGGGAGTACAGTATAGGATGACTATATCTGTGAAACAACTAGAGGTTGTTTTAGGACGCTATACTTTTCATTAATCTAAACCTTGCTTACGTTTTCCTTCTGTCCCTTTAAAAAGGGTAAGGTTCAAGGGTCATTCAAGTACTCATTTGTGGCCATAAATACAGTTACTACATGATACTAATAGGTTAATTACACTTGGAAAGAGGCTAACATGAGGTACAACCCGCTGAACCACGTGCAAATAAGTGTAGCCATGGCAACTATGGAAACATACCAGGTGGAGTTATCTCTTAAGAGATAACTCCAATATTAATACACTTGCAATAATATTCTGAACAGGACTATGGAACATTATTAAAAGGAAAAAAGGGGGAGGGGGAAATCAATCCAACAGCTGCCACAATGCATAAGGGAGAGAAAAGAAGCAACTGCACAGCAAAGTATCTCTGGGTCTAACTTAAGTCCAAGCTGTCCAAAGAAAGTGCAAGCAAAAAAAATCTTTTTGCTTAGCCTCAAAGAATGTTGCCACCTACTATTTAGTACAAGACAATACTGTTTGTGAAGTCCTGTAGGAGGCACATAAAGCCTCGGCTTCTTATAGGCACTGGCAACCACTTGCACTCCCCCACTCCATTCTACTTTTGGCAAGATCCACCACTACCATCAAAAAGCTTTTGTCTATATTGCCAGCTGAACATATATTACTCCTGTAATTTTCCTGACCTCCCATCAATATATGAGCAGAAAGAACCTACTTGCTCCAAACACATGAGAAACAAAGAAGATAAGTGTTTTGCCAATTTTTTTTGACTAACTTACAAAAAGCTAGGAATGAGCCAGGTCAAGCAAATCCCACCTTGAGAGAAAGAGGTCACCCAGGACAGCATCTTTATTTTGAAATACCAAACTCTTGATGTTGAGAGTTTCACTGAATATGGTTTGGCCATTGACTTAACCAGGTATGAGAACAGGCCCAGAGGCAGTCTACAATACTTCACTTTGTGTAGCTGCTGTTAAACTAGAAACATTACAAAATACTCCATGCAGTTGTGTTACTAGTAAAACCTCAGAGTTAAATAGCAACAAAGGAAGAGAGAAAATCTGAGGAATCATAATGGGAAAAATAGCAGTGTGTTTTCAGCTGGATTCTGAAGCAAGCCTGAAAGTCAAGCGACAGCAACACAGCAAACTGTTCCAGGCAGCAGGAGGTGTAAAGAAGAAGGCTCCCACAACAACACTGAGGAGTTCGTCCAAAAGCAAAGGGAGGAGGCCTGTCCTATGTAAACAACAGAAGCGGAGAGGGTTACAGTGAGAAATGAGTTTAGCAAGACAGGCTGGAGCAGGCAAGACTACAGTGTTTTAAAAACAAGACAGGTAATTCAAATAGAAAGTCAAAGCAAATGGGGAGTCACTTCAACAGTCCGGAGAGCAAAACAGCATGTACTGCATTCAGAAGTTTACATGAATTACCAACCAACATATGCTACCAGGAGCTGGGGCAAACCTTGAAAAAGCCTGGAGGCACCAAACACAAAGGAAGTTAGTTTTTCTGGGTATGGGCTTTCACACCTCTTTAAATTAGGATTTCTTAACAAAACAAAAAGCAACTGATGTACAGATCCTTCACTTTTCTCCAAGCTCCCTATCTTTTTGTGGGCATTATAGAGACCACAATACACCCAGTACAAGATCTAAGATTTATACACCCAAATGGGGCTCAATCCACCCTGTAGAGCTTTTAGGTGCCTTCTCCATTCATACCCTAGCACTTTGCAGGATAACTATATATTTATCCTACAGCTGTTGCACCTTGAACAACTAAAAAAAATTAGACACATTGGCATAAGTGAGTTCCCTCTATAACGTGTTCATTGATCAGTGACTGAACAGGTCTTTATGTAGGCAACATTTCTCAACAGTGACCACCACAAAGTCCTGTTTCAGAGTCCAACTCTCATGTATCTTCTGTCTTCTCCTCTCAGTGGTAAGGCTCTCTCCCAGCTCCCTCTTTTTCTCCATAGCTCCAATTCCTTTCTTTAACTTTCTTCAGATCTGTGGGTTTTGCATTGTTTTCTTTCAGCTGCATCCCTACCATGCTGTGCTCTCCCATGCTCCACTTGTTTTCCCTTCTCTCCCTTCCCCCTGCCTCCCCTCCACTTTCCAGTGGCTCCCTTGGAGACAGCACCATCTCTAGGGAAAGGGAAAGCAGTGCAGCTGAAATGGCTACCTTTTCTTCACTGAAAACTGCATTTTGTACCAAAAAACATTTTCAGAATAAGCAAGGGCACCTTGAGAAGACAAAGAGATTAGGGAGGGTTTATCCCATGGGAAAGATAGCGAGAGCGCACCCCATGCCTTTATTTGTAATGCTTATTCCCTCTCTCTACAACCAATCTTGATTTAACAGCAACCTGTTCCCTATACACAATTATTTTAGGCAACTCAAAATATTTTCTGATAGGTAATTTTGGAAATCATTTTCCAAAAATTGATTTTTCCCCCCACTTCTGGGAAAAAAGACAAATCTATCATGTCATAACCACACAAATCATGCAAAAACAATCACCTATTGTATGAGGTACAACTGGAAAATATCCCATTCAAAATTATTTAGGACTGTGTTTAGCAAGAGTAGGAAATTATAAGCTATAAGTGTGCAAAAAAAAATTTAAAGGCAATTTATTTCCTGTACTTGAAATAATAATGATGAGGTAATTACTTCCTAGAATTTTTAATGCATTTAACTATCTTCGAAGCCATTAAAAATTATTTTGAGTCCTGCTGAGTCCATTATAACTAAAGTAACACCTGAGAGTCAGTATCTCTTAACACCTGAGGCAAGAAAATTAAAATATTTTTACTTATTAGTATCTTTCCCCTCAAATAGTTTGCAGTAACACAAATATGACCAGCACAAAATATGGACGATGCATATGATTTACTTAAAAACCACAACTTGGTTACCTCTAGCGGAAAAGAGAGGCTGTTTAGAAGGCACAGTACCACCAACTCAGCATTTGCTATACAAAACGAGAGATAGCACTAGCACACAAAACTACAGCTAAATAAAAAATAGTTATCCTCAAACTACTATTTGACTAGGGCACCCAGATTAAGCACCCTCCAGCTTTTTGAAAATGCTTTGTAACTTGGAGAGCTCTTCGATCTTCCCTGAAAGCCAGCACTTACCACCGAGGGCCCTCACACTCATGCCAGCGCAGCAGTTCCTCCCTGGTGCAGAGGGCACAGCAGCACACGAGGAGCTGGCAACTCCACACGCTGCAATACCTGATCCAGATTAGACATCAATCATCATGAGCACTGGACTCTGTTTTGACTGCGAAAGGTGACAGGAGCACAAACAAAAGCTTGCTGCTGCTAGCTACAATGCTGATGATGGCTTCTCTAGCACCAGTTTTCTTCCCACTAACAGAACATGTCTTTTTCCTAGCTGGAATCAAATCGAAACAAGATAGAAACTCCTGGACTACATGAGGATGGGGGAAATCACACAATGAGCAAGCCACTGGATTTCACACCAAATTGTTGAACAACTGTTTCTTGAACATGAATCAAAACAAACATAAAGGTGTTCGTGACTAAGTATATTTGCACATTCTGTGTGCTGTGTTAATATGCTGATGGAAAGTAACACTGGCAGGTGTTGAAAAAAAAAGTCCAATGGTTAAATGGTTCACATATATATACATGTGTGTGTATATATATATATACACACACACACACTTTCAGTGTTTCCTGTAAAACTTTTTCCCCAAGGGCATCATCAATTGCATTTTTTGACAGAAACACTTTTTCTACTCTAAATACTCTATAAGGAACGCACAATATTTTTAAGCACTTTTAGATCACATTCAAATAGTTACTATTTGTACTTGAGTAAGCATATACAAGCACACTATTACCAAAATCTGCAAATACATGTGAGAAATGAGGAATCCGTGCATACAAGTATACGCAGTCTAGCGTATGTGTAGCTATCACAGCATTTGTGCATCTAGAGATGTAGGCCAGGGAAGCAGCATGCAGATCTCCGTTTAAAACCAGGAAGGCATCATCCTTGCCAGTCTTCTCTTGTCTGCATGTAAGCTTTTTATATTTATGATTTTTAAAGGAAAAAAATCATCTAGATAACTTGTAATGCTATCCATTCACAACTGCTTGTCAAAATGCTTTTTCTATCCAAGAAATTGAATTTTTTTAAAAATACATTTTGGGGTTCTGCCAGTTATGTATGATTTTTATAAATATGCATCACAGCAATAGCATACTGTATGTAAATGCTTTGGGAAAACTCTTATATTCATTCAGGTCACCCTGAAAGGCTTTTAGAGGGTATAGGTATAATTACATAATGACAAGATACATGTGGTCCAGGTCATTTAACAGTACAGACCATTTTGAACTTTAATCCTTAGAAGTCCTCCTTACTAATTGACTGAATCTGGATTCCTAAATTCATTAAGAGTTTATTCAAAGGCTTCATATTAACACTTGAGCTTTGAGTTTATTTGGTTTTTGAATCATTCCTCACAATATTGCTC